CTTCTTCTTGTTCTTGTTCTTGTTCTTGTTGTGTGGTCGCCCGGGTCGGGGGGGGGGGGGATACCATTGGGGGGGGGGGAGGGGTCGAGAACGCGGAGCGCGGGCACATATAGGACCCCTTGAAAAGGATCCCTTTAAAGGAACTCCTATTCGAAAGATATCCCCGGCTAACTTGTCAAGGGGCTCCAACGAGCCTCGCTTGGATCTCCTTCCGCGCCTGCAAGGTTCATGGCTGATTCTTCAAACCGCTACCCATAGGCTCCATTGTAGTTCCTTTTTGGTGCTCATATGTAGAATTCTAGGAGGAACTTCCAAAAAGGAACTGATGTAGGAACCCTAATAAAGGCCCAAGGTTTCTTAATGAGGTTCCTACAGTAGTTCCTTTTTGGGATTGCCCTATAGGATTCTAAATATGAGCCCCAAAACGGAACTATTATGGAGCCCATGGGTATACTACGTTTTTGCCCAAAGCACTACAAAACACGCATTCTGCGGGCTCCTCATTATCATGTGCGTGTATGTCCTTGTCATGGTAGGGCAGTTTGAGGAGAAGGTGGGGCCGAGGAAGTCTTGTTTGGGCTGCGGGGGTCCCAGTGGTTAGGTTGCAAAGGTTGGGGTTTCTGATGTTACTGTGTGGAGTTTACGGCTTTGGAAGTACAGGTTGCCCCTGAACCTGTAGGCTGTCTTTCGACCGGATAATTCTCCAAATCAGGGTCTCACCTTGGATTCCTAAACATTCGGCCGTCACTCCAATAATGAGGACCCCGAAGAGGAGCCACGTTTCAGAGAACCCACCACATGGAACCCAGGTAGCCTGATACCGTAAACTCGCGAAACCCCTAAACCCTAGACCCCAAGAACCTGATTCCTCCGGTGAACTCAACGGAATAAGATCACTACTTAAAGGATCATGGGACTTAGTGACTAGGGCTACAGTTAGGTAACTATACTTAGAACCCATATTAGGGCACTTAGAACCCTACTTGCTAAGTCCCATGACCCTTTAAGCAGACCCTAAAACCCCTCTTATAATCGAACCCCTATAGATCCCTTTAAAGGAGCCCTTTCAGGAACTCTACTTACTAAGTCCCATGAACTTCCAAGTAGTCACGCAGGCCCATGGGCATGATAAACCTAAAGGTCGGGACCCTAAACCCCTAATGCGGGAACCTGATTAAGAAGCCCTGGGCCTAAATTGGGGTTCCTTTAAAGGGGTCTATAAGGGTTACTATAAGGGATCCACAAGGGTACTACAATAATGTAGGAACCTGATTAAGAAACCCTGGACCGTTTTGCACCCCAAAATAGTAGGATTCATAAAGGGAGCACTTATAAAGGCCCAAGGTTTCTTAATCAGGTTCCTACATTACCCTAAACCCCTGCGAACCCCCATGCCCTATACCTCGTTGATCTTGGTCTGGGCGTCGGTTGAAGCTGCCTGCACAGCACCCCTTTAACGAAAGAGGTGGAAACCCAAACCACGACCTTACAAATGAAGGCTGTATAGGGGTTGGAGTTTAGGGATAAAGGTTGCGCAAAGCCTTCTATCAGAGCTTTATAAGAGACCTAAACGTGCTCTGTAAGGTAAGGGCTAAACAAAGTTTGTGTATGACCTTACACCCCAGACCCTGAAGGTCAAACGACCCGAATCTCGACCTCTGCGTGATAGGGATAGAACCCTAAACCTAAACCACAATTACGTCCTAGACTACTAAAGCCTCATGGTCTACAGTTTAGGGTTCAGCCTCACGTTTATTTCTAAGAAATAGGAGCCGGGATTCTGATTCTCGGCTTTGGACATGATTCGGGAGTACATATAGGTCCCTTTATCTGTATGGGTTTGTAAGGATTTGGGGTGATATATACACATGTATGCATATATATATATATATATATATATATAACATATACATATAAATGTGTGTGTACGTGTGTATATATATATATACACATAGATGTATACATATGTGTATATATATATGTGCGAAACTTTAAACTTGGCTATAGCAACTAACTCCCCGGCTGCTGCAAACACAACCTTAGCTTCAGCTGACACCCCCAAAGCCGCAAAACTAGAGGTTAGACTTGTCATCCACAACCCAAACCCAGACCCCCGGGAGTATCCAAAAAGTAGATCCCTCAATCGGGGTTCCTGTAAGGTACCCTTGGTAGTATAGGGCGCCATATTAGGGGATCTGCTTTCTAGATCCTAAACCCTAAACCCGAAACCTCTAAACCCTAAACCCTGAACCCCTAAACCCCTAAACCCTAACCCCTAAACCCCTAAACCCTAACCCCTAAACCCCTAAACCCTAACCCCAAAACCCCTAAACCTTACTTTCTTTCTAGATCCTCCCTGAAATCTGCGCACCAAACAGACCAGGAGCCGAAGCACTGATCGCTGCCGCCGACATTCCCCAAGCAAGCAGCAACTAGGGTTTAGGGTTTAGGGTTTACGATTAGCTGGGCTAAGAAATCACTAGGCCAGCAGTGTAGAAGTAAAAAACCCACCCGCCCAAAGAATCCCAAAACATTAAAAAAATATACACTTTCTCCCTAAACCCTAAAGACCAACCAAACATGCCCTAAACCCTCGAAGCCACTACTATACTCCAAAACTCGTTGCGCAAGCCACATCCCAACAAAAATAATAAATTTTGCAGACCTCAGGCCGAGAAGGTCTGCAAAATTAGCGATTTTTGTTGTGCAGGGTAGTCCTCGCAACAAACATCGCTAATTTTGCAGACCTCAGGCCGGGAAGGTCTGCAAAATTAGCGATTTTTGTTGTGCAGGGTGGTCCTCGCAAAAAATCGCTAATTTTGCAGACCTCAGGCCGGGAAGGTCTGCAAAATTAGCGATTTTTGTTGTGCAGAGTGGTCCTCGCAACAAAAATCGTTAATTTTGCAGACCTCAGGCCGGGAAGGTCTGCAAAATTAGCGATTTTTGTTGTGCAGAGTGGTCCTCGCAACAAAAATCGTTAATTTTGCAGACCTCAGGCCGGGAAGGTCTGCAAAATTAGCGATTTTTGTTGTGCAGGGTAGTCCTCGCAACAAACATCGCTAATTTTGCAGACCTCAGGCCGGGAAGGTCTGCAAAATTAGCGATTTTTGTTGTGCAGGGTAGTCCTCGCAACAAACATCGCTAATTTTGCAGACCTCAGGCCGAGAAGGTCTGCAAAATTAGCGATTTTTGTTGTGCAGGGTGGTCCTCGCAACAAAAATCGCTAATTTTGCAGACCTCAGGCCGGGAAGGTCTGCAAAATTAGGGATTTTTGTTGTGCAGAGTGGTCCTCGCAACAAAAATCGTTAATTTTGCAGACCTCAGGCCGGGAAGGTCTGCAAAATTAGCGATTTTTGTTGTGCAGGGTGGTCCTCGCAACAAAAATCGCTAATTTTGCAGACCTCAGGCCGGGAAGGTCTGCAAAATTAGCGATTTTTGTTGTGCAGGGTGGTCCTCGCAACAAAAATCGCTAAGGCCATTAACATTTAAATATACATTTGAAAGAGAGGTTTAGGGTTTAGGGTTTAGGGTTTAGGGTTTAGGTCCAGGGGCTTAACTAGGATACCCAGTAACCTAAGAATAAAAAGGCCTCTCTTTTTGGTATTGGGTAACTTTATAAGGAACCTAGGACTACAAAAAGGGAATAAGGGCACTACTGGGCATCCTAGGCAAAGACTCAAAAGCCGGGAATGAGATGGGTAGTTTTCAAAACTAGGGCCCCGTTTTGGGCACCCTGAATATTAGGTGCCGTATTATATTAGGGACCCAGAAAGGGGCCATAACTTTGACAACCACCCATAATCTCTTGCCTCCAAAGCATGTAAGCCCTATAGGACCCTTTTGAATCCCAAAAAAGAACTCTCTGAGTCTGTAAAACTAAGTTCTATATGCATTCGGGTTTGGGCTGCTTGTTCGGGGTGCGTTGAGTGCCAGCCTCGGATTCCAGATGTGTGGCTTGTAGTTTTAGAGTTTAGGGGTTTAGGGTTTAGGGTTTAGGGGTTTAGGGTTTAGGGTTTAGGGTTTAGGGGTTTAGGGTTTAGGGTTTAGGGTTTAGGGGTTTAGGGTTTAGGGTTTAGGGTTTAGGGTTTAGGGTTTAGGGTTTAGGGTTTAGGGTTTAGGGTTTAGGGTTTAGGGTTTGGGGTTTAGGGTTTAGGGTTTAGGGCTTGTAGCTTGGGTTGTTGCTTCAAGGCGCGATGAAGTTGGCGATAGCTGTATGACATTTACAAGACCCAGCAAGCAAAAGACATGGCTTGCATTTTCCGCGCTGCGCCTATTGCAGACCACTGCGTTTGAGAAACTCTTGCACGCAGACTGCACCACATGCTTCCCAGCTGGACCTCTTCGTCGTAGCCCCCCTTTACCGAATGGTCCACTCACTAGACTGGCAATTACAGAGAAGACACCTGAACCCACAACTAGTCCATGGTTGGGACAATATCAAACATTAATAATGTCTAGTCCTTCTTGGGGGTATTAAGCAAAAAATGCTACCAGACACGATGATAAAAATAAACAACGGTACTCGAGGGCTTCGGGTCAAGCCACGGAATTACCGAGCCAATCGCAAACCCCCGATGGATCCTCTGCAAGATTCTAGGGGGCGCAACATTAAAGGTAGGGTTTTAGGCTACATGATAGTAACTACAGTATGACTATATGGGGTCTTCTGGTGGATATTCTTGCCACCAAGTCTCACGCGCTTTCGGAGTGCGTATTCGGTAGAGAGGTTGCGACGATGGCTGTACACCGATACAGGAACGGGCGCCTGGGGTACGGTGCCAGTACCTACGTGGCATGTAACTAATTCTGCTCATGCAAGCCGCCGGCAGCACCACTGCCACCAGCACTAAACGAAACTAGACAAAACCTACTGTAGGAACCTGCCTTAAACACCCTGGGCCTACAATCCCAAACTAACGGGATTCATATAAGGAACCCTAATAACGGCCCAAGATTTCTTGATCAGGTTCCTACATTACTTGAAAAGATCTCAAAAGATCCTAAAACTTCTCACAGAGTGTCGGCGCCTGGGCCGTTTCAAGCATCGTCGTACCATTCGTGCGATAATCCGGGAACACATCCGGCTTTGTGTGACACCGCGCTTCTTTGGGGCTAGCATTTTCGATGTGGGGATTTACGGGTATGGGGTTTTGGGTTTAAGGTTCAGGATGCTCGGGTTTTCGGGATTTGGGGTGCTGTGTTTTGGGGCTTTGAGGGTTCAGAGTCTTTCGAGCATGCGAGGGGGTGTGGTCCATGCCCTTGCCAGTGCCCATATCTCGACCTAAACATAGACACTGTACCTCCCTCGACAGAAGCCTAGCTTAAAAAACCCACTGCCTTTACATTCAACCAAAACACGAACCTGACAAAAATCCTGCCAAGCCTTTTCCTGCCCCACATCCCATGCAGATCCTCCAAGCATTCATCGGGCGAGACTGCTGAAATACAGACGAAACATCCAGCCATAAACGAAAAACTGCGTCGCAAACACATCAAAATTTCGATTCAAGCGCCGAGGAAAAGACGCCCTTAGAGACATCTCCTTGCAGATCCAGCACCAAACGAACCAAGAAACTGGGTTCCTGTTAAGGAATGTAGTTAAGCTACCATAAAAAGGATCTCTGGTAAATAATATGGTTTCTGTATTAAGGTAGTTGAAAATAACATCCTTAACAAGAGCCCGGAAAGGTGTGGCCAGCCCTACAAGCAAGCGCATACTCGAGCAGTCGTGCCAAAGCCTCCTAACCCCTTTTAAGCCCCAGACCTCGGCCCGAAACTCCATTCCCTCATCCCAAAGCCGCTATGCTGCCTTTGCAAACCCATTGCAGAACCTTTTGGAAAATATACCACCCATAAAGAACTCGAATAGCGAAGAACCCCACATTCCAAAAACAAGTGAGCACCTCCGAGGAGAGCAACCGATCGTGGAGCCCTTCTTGTGCCTCTCGCGATTTGATCTGGGGATTCCTTAGGGGGAGGACGGTTCCCACAACATGGATCAGAATAGGGATCCTGCTATGCACGGTCTATGTCTCAAACCCCATAGAGCTTTCTAACTTGAAGGGTTTAGGCTCAGAGGTTTCCCGAACGTGTTGGATCGTTCAGGATATGGGAGGCTTTTGTCGTTGCTGCTCCGGTGGATTCTGATCTTGGCGCCGCTGCTGCTGCTTCTACCGTTGCCGTTGTCGTCGGCGTCGTTGTCGTGGTTGGTGGCTCTGTGTCGTAAAAACCTCAAATTGAACAAACTCGAAATCCTTCCAGTGCTTCCAAGTCGAACATAGCCCCACGCGTCCTGAGTTCCAGGACCACCAACGCCAAAGCCTCCAAGTGTCGAAGTCCTACAACCGGCGAAGAAAACTAGAACAATAAACCCGGGGGGACGAGAATCAAACCCTAAGCCCTAAACCCTAAACCCGAAACCCCTAAACCCAAGCTCGTAAGACTCGGGCATCAGGTTCAAAGCGTAGGGACAAAGCACAGCAACACCCACCGAGAAGCCACCTATAACTAGCCATGAACCTCCAAGTAAGCGGAATTTCTCAACACAACGGCAGTTTACCTAGGAACAGGGGCCTTAATTAATGATTAGAGCCGGTTGCCTTCTCGAAGTCCCGACATGTCCAAGCCGGGGGCGAAATGCCATATCCCAGCCTGAAAGATCAAGGTTCAAAGCTTTAAAACCCTAGGTGCAAGGGCGAAGCCAAACTTCTTCTAGCCCCAAGCCCTAAATCTCGAACCCTACGGCCTGAATCCTGAATCCAACAATGAGCCCAAAAGGCGCTAACCGAAAATCCGACAACTTGTGCTCGAAGGCCAGGAAAAAACAGTCCTTATCCTGCAAAGCCGAAAGCCCAAGGCCCTACGTAAAGAACGAACACCTGAAGGGCTCGGGTGTTCGGGGCAATTCCGAAAACCTGCAACCCTCAACCCCAGCCTAAACCCTAAACCCTCAAACCGGAACCCTAAAACCCGGGACCCCCCAAACCCGAAACCCTAAAGTTTAAACCCTAAACCCTAAACCCTGAACCATAAACCCTGAATCCATAAACCCTAAACCTTAAACCCAAAACCGCGCGGCCAGAAGATGGCGGCTGCAGCTACGCACGCCGCCGCTTGGCAGAAGATGAGCCCGGCCTCGGGAGGGGTTCGTCAAAAGTGCGTTAAGGGGTTTAAAGTTTGGGGTTTACGGTTCGTCCGTGAATTAACCCTGAACTTAGGGATGCTTTGGTTTAGGGCTTAGTGTGTTTTACTTTAGGGTTTTGCGGCTTGCTTTTAGGGTTTCGGGTTTATGGCGGAGGGTTTAAGTTTTAGGGTCCTCGTTTATGGTTATTGAATCACGGGATGAGGGTTAGGGTGGTGTAAGGTCATCAGTAATCAGGGTGTTCTGGAGTTCTACAGAGTTTTGAGAGGCTTCTCTATGCGTCAGTATGCGGCTCGTTGGAGGTTTTGCTTTCTGTCCGATTCTACTGGGGCTCCCTGAAGGTCTAACAGAGTCCAACTTGCGGCTTTGGGGGTGCTGCAGAAACCATCGCACAGTTGTTGCATGGATACTTAACCCTACACCCTCAACCTTAAACCCTAAACCCTGAACCTGAACCCCTAAACCCTAAAACCCTAAGCCGCCCCTAGCCAGCATTGCCCATGAAGATCTTGGGTTCACATCGTGTGGTTTAAAGCGACAAGTCACCTCAGAGACCGAATCCACAGTATGAGCCGTAAGCCCCAGAATCAAAAGCCTCTGAAATCCGAAAGTAACAGGCAGAAAGGATCACGATTATCCTCCTCCCTTTCAGTTACAGTAGAAGGAATCCCGCACAAATTATCCTTATCCGATGTTTCAAGTTTCCGGGGCTCACTGTACAACGTCCGAAATATATCTAAACAGCCAGAATGCAGGACCGTTGTGGATCATCAGCTGCGTTGCCAGGGCCGATAGCAGGCATGGGATTACGCTCCTTTGCGGAGGACTTTGCCACGGCTTAGGGTTTACGATTGTGGGCTTGGAATCTGCGAAAAACTGCTCTTATAGTCTTTGCTTAGAGGTTTGGGATGTGAGGATTTAGGAGCTAAAGAAGTTTCAGGATTGAGGTCGCAGCGTTCAGGGAGTTTGAGTACAGCAGGGCCCCAGGCACCTGCAGTCTTCGTTTGAACAGGTTTTGTGAACTTTAGGGCCTTGGCTGAGAGCTTGGGTCTTGTCTTAGGGTGTAGAGTCAGTGTAGAGTTGTTGAAGCCCTCTTTTTCCATCTAACTTGCGTCAGAAGCTCAACCGGAACCTTTGCTCGTGGGGAGGGGATCTATGAATCCCTAAGTGCCCCTTTACAGGGATCTATAGGGTTCCTAACACGTTTAGGGCGCAGGATGTCGGCCAGGGTTAGGTGGGGTTATAAGCCCCCTAATGTGACATAATTTTGGTTACCCTACTTATAAGTACCCACGAACCTCCAAGCAGGGTCAGGGTTTAAGGCCGAATTTGTGACCTGCGTTCACGAACGCAATATCGTGGCCCTTTTGAGTAGATAATTGCTGTGGCCCTGTTGAGTATATAATTGCTTTGCGAAGCTGTTCTACCATCAAACGAAAAACTGCTCTTAAGGAACACGTTTACCAAATATTTAAGTACCGAATCCCAATCTTGGAACCCTCAAGGCGTATCTTCATGCCATCAGAATCGAACGCACAGCACGAACCCCTGAACCCGACCCACTCCTACACCCTAAAACCTTTAACCCTTTCACACTTTGACCCTGAAACCCTAACCCTCATGTTACGATTGACCCTAAACCCTGAACCCTAAACCCTAAACCCTAAACCCTGAACCCTGAACCCCGAACCCTAAACCCTGAACCATAAACCCTGAACCCTAAATCCTAAACCCTAAACCCTAAATCCTAAACCCTGAACCCTAAACCCTGAACCCTAAACCCTGAACCCTAATTGCTCTAACGAACTGCAAAGGCTCTGCGCCACGATCTCACATGAGGCAGCCATGCCTGCACAGTCCTCTCGGTGACGCTTGACAGCTAAGGCTTCATTACCGGTTTAGCTTTAAGGGGTTTGGGGTTACCGGTTTAGGTTTAAGGTTTTGGGGCATCATCCAACTCGGGTGAACTGAGACACTTGGAGGTTCATGGCTAATTATAAGTGTGGTTATAAGTCCCCTAATATGTGTTATAACTATGTTTATCCTAATTATAACCCCACTTCTAACTACCCATGAACCTCCAAGCAGGGATTGGTTTGGGGTTTGGGATTCAGGCTTTTGAGCTCAGTTTGTTAAGCTAAAGATGTTGGATCCCGGATTCATATGCCTAAACCTCTTTTCATCCTCCAGGGGCTCGAAGAAGAGCACGTTGGCAGAGACCAGGGCCATCATTAGAACGCACGCCTAGCGGATTTAAGTGACTGGTGAAAGGATTATAGCTCTTAAGGTATTATAGGGGTTTAAGGTTTAGGGCTTTAGACTTGTAGAGTTTGGGTTTGACAGCTGAGGCTTTTCGGAGGCTTCCGGTTCATGGTTTGGTGCTCGGGTTGAGGCGGTGGAGACCATGCAACCCGAAGGTTCTGAAGATTGCAAGTCGACTGTTTCAGTGAAGCACCCGCGCGTTGGAATCGGAAGGATCTCCTGGGCAAATACCCAAACCTGAATCCTTGAACCCGAAACCCCAAACCCCATAATCCTAAACTCTAAACTTTCCTAAACCCTAATCGCTCAACCCTAAGCCCTAAACCCGGAACCTGGAACCTGGCTTAAAGCTGGTTGGGAGCAGAAACGTCGAGGTGTAGAGCGTGGAGGGTCCACAGTAAACCGCAGAAAGTTGCAACATGGGATAAGGGGGTGTAGGGTTTTGGATTTATATAGGGCGGAGGATGAGAATGTTCGAACTTTCTGAACTCCAATTGCATTGTGTTGCACTGTATTTGGAGATGTAGAACCCATGAAGGTGGTGAGCTTATACTTTTAGGGTCGGAGGGCTTCGCAGCCAGATCAAAAAGTTCGCGCCGTGGCCAACGTGCAATCATCATGTTTGGCCAGGAAACTAGAGTCCCTAAACCCTCAGCTCTACCCTACACCCTAAACTGCACCCTACACACTAAACCCGAAACCTGGAAAACCTGGAGCCCGAAACTATTGCGAACATAGCGCACGTCTATCCCTGAAGCAAGCCAGCTTAAGTTTGAGGGCAGATTTGCCGCTTGGAGCGGCTGTAGACTGGGCTCCGGCCCTTCACAATAAATCCCTCAAGAAGGCACGTTGTATATCGATCGGTACGTTCGTCACGAGGGACCTTCTAAAAGGGCGACGACACCCTGAAATCCGAGAAAGCCCGTGGAAGTCCTTCACAACCGACAAGCCCTACTTAGCAAATAAGGATCCAAGTACCTGAATCGGGGTTACACATATGTTCAACTCTACCTGAGTTACCCTGCTCACTAAGTCTCTAGATCTTAAGCCCTTACTTACAAAGTCCCTTGATCCTCAACCTGCAACCCACTGGGTTTGGCGCGGCCCTGCCTGGAGGAAGGACCCTGCGAGGTAACCCCAGAGGAACTGGGAGAAGAAAAAACCCAGCAGCCTCAGGGGTGAAGAAAAAAATGCATGGAAACACTGAAATGGAGAAGGCTCCAAGCAACAAGCAAACTATAATGTAGGCCCCGGTTACTAGTGCCGCCTACCTTTAAACAGGGAATAACAAGGATCCTAGCATTTGGTCCCTTCAAGAAGGGAGTCTACTAATCAGGGGCCTACAGTCAAAACGTCACCTTACTTACAACCCAAGTCGCCCGGCCCGACCCAAGAGGTACCCCAAAACCAGATGCCCCAAACTCTCAAGGAACATACGATCCAAACAACTGGCTGATGAGAGCCTAAACAGCTATTGCACATCAACGGCAGTTAAGGGCTACAGTTTAGGATGTACGGCTTACTATCTTTGCTTACCGTTTCAGGCTTGGGGCCTGGTCCGGAGAGAAAACCAGGATCAGGATCCAACAAGTGCTGAAGTATCCTTTGGGTAGTAGGGAATGGAGGAACGGGGACATTCTTCCATTCCCTACTAACCAAAGGTAAGTGAAGTATCGTGCTGCAAAGCCCGGTAGCAGGGAGATTGCACCAGCAGCGCCAAGAAGACTCAAAGCCCAGCGTGCCATCTGCAGCACACTGCCCAGCCGAAGCCTCGAAGGCAGGCCCTCAACCCCTCAAGCCAGACACCCCAAACCCAAAGCCCCCGATACCAAACCGTCAACCCCGCAAATCGTGAAGCTTTTAGATTTAGACGCCGCAAAGAAACTTGCAGCCCCGCATGTTGAGACCGAACCCTTCAACTTGAAACCCACCTCCTGCTCCTTTGGGAAAACCCTGCGGGCAACATGTCAAGTCCGTCTTCTTTAATGGCTTGGCCTGATATAGGGGCCTTAATCAATAAGTGTGTATACATACAGTAGTTTAAATATAGTGAGAACCTTTTGGTATAGAATAGTGAGATTATTTCTGCCTTATCTATGAGTGGGAACCCCTAAATAATTGCACAGTGTTACAGTGCGTATCTCCATATTAGATGCAGACAAGCCCCTAAACCCTAAACCCTAAACTCTAAACCGAAGCACAAATCCCCCCAGAGCCGAGGCCTCTCGATCAAGAAGGCGCCAATGCCACAGAGCGCACCAAACACGAGCCTTGGCTTAAGAGTTTCATGATATCGGGTTGGGGGGCTAGGATTCAGGGGTTTAGGGTTTATATGGGGGTTTAGGATTTAGGGCACCAGAGGTTTAGGGTTCAGGGTTTAGTGCTTTAGGGCTTAGGGTACCGCCCTCACGTTAACCGCCCTAAACCATGCAGTGGAAACTACACCGTCAACCCCTGAACTAAACCCTAAACCTGATAGACCCTGAGCCCTAAACCGTAAACCCCAAACAATGCTCAGGCACATGATCTCCGACGAATTAATTACCGACTCGCCAAAGGTCACCTGCGGCACAGTCTTGGGATTCACTTTAGGGCTCTAACTCTGTTTCTAACAAAGTTTGTGGGTTCTGGCTCGGTTTCTTACCAGTTAGTGGGTTCTGACTCTGTTTCTAACAAGTTAGTGGGTTTCTAATGAGTTTGAATACAAGTTACCAGGTTTGCGAGGATTTAGCCCTTTGTGGTTTGCGGCGTTCGGAGCTTACTGCCTTCGGGCATATCCCGGTGGGAAGTGTAAAGGTTTGGGGACTGCCGCCTGCAGCCTCTCCTGTGTCTCTTTGGGACTTAATCAAGGTCTCTGGCTGTCTCGAAGATAGGACGTGTGTGATTTAGGCTTCTGCTTTGAGTCTGCAGAATGCTGCAGGAATTGAAAGTTTACTGATTGAACAAGGTTCTTGCAGGATTCTTACCCTCAAACCCTGGAACCCGAAGGGCTAAAGCCGAAAACTCTGTGCTTTATTTCGTGACTCCTTAGCATGTAACTCCACGCCTCTGCCAGGTAGCTGCTGTTCGCGTTGAAGGTAAAATAAGCGCCCATGACGCAACCTGATTTGCTTTTCAAGGGGTGCGCAGCCCGCTGATGCACTGCCTTTAAACCTGAAACCCTGAACCCCGAAAATCCAAAAACCCTAAACCCGAAGCCCTTTGCCTGGAAACCTTGGTGCCTCGAGACCCTCCAGAAACATCCGGGGAACCCTTAACCACCCTAAACCGCTACATATGATACTAATCCGAATCCGTAGAATACCCCTCATAGCAACACTTACGTTACCCCGTATAGCACCCCATCATAGCAACCCTGCTGGCAGCCTGTTTCTTCGACAGCAACCAAGCTTTGGGGGGCCTGCTTGTGATTTTCCAATGCTCTTTTGTTTTGGGGTTTACGGGCTTTGGGATTCGGGGTTTAGGGGTTTAGGGGTGAGTCAACTTGGGCTTGCCGGCTCTGAGTTTAGGATGCAATGCCTACTATAGGGATCCAACAATTTTGGATTTCGGCTTTACAGATCTTTAGTGGATACATTAGGGTTCTTATGAGGGGCATACGGGTCTCTACGAGGGCTTCTACAAGGGTTCTTTCAGGAGGTTCATGAGACTTGGTAAGGTCATAGGTACCTTCATTGGGGCTATCATCATATATAAATTATAAGTGTGGTAACCTTACTTATAACTCGAGCCACTAAGCCCCATGATCCTTTAAGTAAACCCTAAAACCCCTGCCCTTTGAAGTATGACCCTAGTTACTGAGCCCCATGATCCTTTAAGTAGACCGTCTGTCGCCTGGGAAAGGCCTGACCCGCTCTCCAGACCTAAACACCGGGCGCTAAACCTGAAGCGCTGACTGTGAGCTGAGCAGCTTTCCGTCAGAAGGAGGCAAAGAAGGTGTGGGTCCAAGATTCTTGAGAGGTCGCTGAGGTAGCTTTGACTCTCTCCGTCCGGGCAGCATTCCTCAAGCAAATCTCATGGAAGCTTCGTCTTACCAGTACACTGTGGTTCTGGCACCTGTAACTCATACTCTTATATGGACTATAGGCAGAAGCTTCTCTCCGTAAGCAGACTTCCACACTAGGTGTTTCTGGGATGTGGGCTCACGGGACAGATATGTCACTCAACTTCTGTAACTCCAGCGCACTCCCCCACAGCAAGTTAAGCGCATCGGTCTCAGATCTCGGTGCTCTGGCTCCTCTATCGCAGCATCTTGACAGGGACGAGGAGGACTCCTCGTCCCTCAACGGTGCTACCACTCCCCACCCCAGTCGCCCGCGGGAGTTTGTTCTCCAACCTTTCTTTCGAGTCTCCCTAAGCCTGTCGAAGAGACACACGGATCTTCGTGCCATCCGGGTAGGTCCACAGCTCCCGGAGCAGCGGGCTCTCCATGTGCTGGCTTTCTTCCTTGCGTGCCGCGGCTATCCTGCATGACTCCTTGACTGCATTCATGCAGCCCCCAGCCTCGTGCGTTATACACCCCCAGAGTCAGCTCTAAACAACCCTAAAGCCCCAAAACTCCAAAACCCCGAACCCTTAACTTGGGGATTCGGGTTCAGGGTTTGGGTGTAGGGTTCAGGGACCACGACAGCCCAGAACCCAGACGAAACCATAACATGACAATCGGGGTTTATGGTTCAGGACGTGTCGACGTGAAAAAAACCGGCTTAGTGCACACCGTTGCTTAGTCCAAAACTGACGGCCTAGTTCCGGAGACCGATTGGCATACGGGATCCGCAAATCCTGCAACCCTAAAGCTTTAAGGAATAAAAACTATGAGTATGAGCTCTTCACTTTTATCCCTGAACCCGGAAACCTGGAAGGCTGCACGCCGACACACTTGCTACCAAACCCCTGAACACACATTTTAAGTAAGACTAGGGTATATTATGCAACAACCATAAGAGGATCCTGGACGAATAGTATTCATTAGTTACGAAATATTCAGACACCATGAAACCCTAAACCGTAAAAAACCTGAACTATGCCCTAAACCCTGCACACCCATATTGTGTTCGGCTGAGCCACAACCATGGCCAAGCCAGCATAGCTGGCGAGGAGGCCCCAGATCCTGCAGCTTAAACTTTGGGGGTTCCTTTAAGGGTTCAAAAAAAATATATATATACATTTTTTTTCTGTAGAAATGTACTAATTATATATGCTGGCCTCTGCAAAGGGCTTAGGGTTTAGGGCTTAGATCTTAAACGTAGGTTTAAGCTTTAGGGTTCAGTCAGGGCCTAGTTAAGCCCAGATTTGGGTACTCTGGCTGGGTTCGCGGTGTAGGTCGTAGGTTTAGGGTTTAGGGTATAGGGTTTTGGGTTCAGGGCTTAGGGTTTAGGGTTAAGGGTTTAGGGCTTAGGGCTTAGGGTTTAGGGTTTAGGGTTTAGGGTTTAGGGTATAGGGTTTTGGCTTCAGGGCTTAGGGCTTAGGGTTTAGGGTTTAGGGCTTAGGGCTTAGGGCTTAGGGTTTAGGGTTTAGGGTCTAGGGAGGGTGTAGGGCCCAGTTGAGCTTGCTTTATAATACTCGGGTTCGTGAAACGGCTCTCTACCGGGTTCAGAAGCCCTGGAGGGGATAAAACTAGCTAGTCTTCACTTGTGTCAGCTATCAGCACTATACTCTGGTTCAGGGTTTAGGGTTTAGGGCAGTGCACCGCAACAGCAGAGTAAAACCCTCCATACTAAACCCTAGAACCCTAAAACCTAGAAGTTCAGCCAAGCAGCAGGGCAAGGCCAAAAAACGACGCGCGCCAGCTCCAGTAATGCGCGCCGAGCCCTCCGACAAGAGGAGCCAAGGCAATGCCCACGAAAGCCATCATCCTCAAATCCATGGAGTGTATGGCTCCCAGAGCTCGAATCGATACTTCCACCTCTGGACAGAACCTAAGACCCTAAGACTCTTTCAGACTTGAAGACCAGTCCAACCCCTCCCACACCCTCAACACTCCAGATAACCTTGGCCTCCAGTCACCTTAGTACAGTCACGACTTTGAGGACTTAACTTGGGATGACCTCTAAGGGACATCCGAAAAAAACCCTGAACCCTAGAGCCCCTAAACTCTTAAACTCTGCAGCCCTAAACCATGAGCCCAAAGGCCCGAGGCCCCAAAAGAAACCATGAAGCAAGCAGCTGCAAAGCCGCGACGACTACGAAACGCTCGGATGGCTCAGCGAAGTAGTCGCGGGCCATGGCAAAGATGACCTGATCGTGGGATTTAGAGTTCGGGCATTAGGACATGGGGTTCAGCCATTATGGTGTAAGGCTCCGGATAGGGTCTTCGTCCTACCACTACTGCTACTGCTGCTGCTGCAAATCATGCGACAGTCATTGTTAAGGATTTAGGCTTCGGGTTACCTAGTTGGAGGTTCATGAGTAGTTGTAAGTGGATTAGGGTATCCATAATTATAAGCCATATAAGGGGACTTATGACCCCACTTATAATTACCCATGAAAATCCAAGTAGAGTCCTAGAAGATCCTAGAAGATGGCACAAACACCGCATGAAACCAGGCGGCATCTAGAACAACCAAGCCTGCGAAACCAGACCCTGCCGGAAGGTTCTTTCCTTCGGAACTCTGAAACAGATGATATTGATAAAAAGCTATCTCCATATCTACATTCAGACCCTTGCATCTTCATATTTGTGAATAGTGTGTGGCATGCTTGTGCCATCTGTTCTGTACTGATTTGGTACAACATGCGAAACCCCTAAACACCAAACCCTAAACCCTAGACCCTAACGAAAAAACAACGACAAGCCGCTGGCTCCAGGGATTCTCCCATGCCCTGCAGCAGCCGCGAAGCGATGAACCACTCAATCTTGCGGGCACCTCAGTTTGGAAGCGTCTAAGCGGGGTCTGAGAGACAGTGGCAGCTCATCCTTGCAGCTTCAATCATCTTCATCGTCAACGCCATCGCAGCCATCATCAACCTCACCACCAACATGGTGATCCACCATCATGCTTACCAGCATGTTCGTCACGACTGCAACAGCTGCACTGGGAGAAAGCTGGCATTCAGGTGCCTTAATATAATAGCCCGAATAATTGCCCATACTATTTTGGTGACTCCTTGCTATAATCATCATATAATGTACACCAAAACCCTACTCCAATCATTACGCCCCTTGTATTGCAGTCCTGTACGACACTCTGTAGCCTTCCTTGGCAAAGGCCCAGTTCGCGACAACCCGTTGAGACCTGAAAGCCCTAGATTAAACTTGTCCGGGGTGCAGCCGCAGCAGAAGCTTGCCACGCTAAGCAAAGTCAGGCAGACGAGCCTTGTGGCGGTTTGGGGCTGAAGGTTGAACCGTCTAGTAGGTGTCGGCGTCAACAGTCCCCGAAAGAATTCATAAGGAGAGCTCTATGTTAAACAAGAAGGAAATCAAACTATCTCAGACAGATACCTAGTCTAGGGCTTGAGGGTTTGAGTTCGCCTTCTAGGATTGATAGAGCCCTAATGGTTTTAGGGCTTAGGCTTCATGATTCAAGGTTTGTGTCTTCACACTTCACGTGCTTCGGGGTCGGGGATGTCTCTGACCCTAACCCTGAATCCTGAACCTAAACCGCCTAAACCCTAGGCTAGGCTGGGCGGAAAATGTTGGAACAGTGCCTGGGATCACCCCGCAGCTCCGCAAAACCTGCAAAGCCCCTTTTCAGGGCTACTCTTAACGGGGTCTACAAGGATTACATGAGGGTGACCATATGGGTTCTATGATGTAGGAACCCTAAGAATCAGAACAGGGTTTTGGAGTATATTGTGGTATAGTTGTAGACCGGAACCGGAACAGTATTGCTCGTTATTCAGGCCCTTATACTAATCATGGCAGTGAAGCGAGAAACTCATGCAATCTAGCATACCAAGCTTCATATTCTTGCGCACCAGAAGCTCTGCAACACCCCGTACATGCTAAACGGTCGAAGTGTACAAACGTTAGTAACAACGATGGTGGAAGTAGCAATGACCACAGAATTGGCGCTACATCGTTTACTCGGATGGCAAAATGTCGATACTATGCATGTGCTGTATAATCACAGAGACCTCTACTGGCAAGATGACTCTTATAATACCCAAATGAGGTGCCCCTAGATTTGAAAGCTAAACTTAAGCCTCCATGCACAGCCGCTCAAAGCCCTGTAAGACCCTGCAGTGCATAATATGCACACTTGCCCTAATTATGAGCCCCAGCCTTCAACAAATCATGTGAAAACCTAAACAGCTTAGCAAGTTCTTACAACAACATAGAACACTCCCCTAAAACTCTCCTAAACCCTAAAACCCCAAAACCCTCCCAAACCCTAAACCCTCAAAACCCTCCCAAATCCTACATAAACCCTTTTGGAAGCCAGGGCTCAGCACGGGCCTCCGGCCGATTCGATCGGACAGGCCAGCGGTGGCCATGCCAAAGACGGCCTCCGGTTTAGGGTTTGTTTTTAGGGTTTAAGACTTATAGGGGTTTAAGGGTTAGGGGTTTAGGGTTAGGGGGTTTAGGGTTGATTTTGGTGTTAAGCGGTTTAGGGGCAGGGCTCTCTCTGTTTTCTGCAGACTCGTGGAAACAAGGGCTCTGCGCAAGCCGCCGACAGTCCAACTCATCGATTTTTTGGTTCCGGCTTGCCCTCGCTAGGCCGACAGCGATGATATGGGAGTTTCCGAACATAGGGGACCCTATAATATAGTACCCTAAGCAGGAAGGAACCCCATTTGTAAGGACCCCAAAATAAGGTACCTCTAATTATCGGAAACTCCCATATACTGCAGTGGCCTTAATAATTAGAATAGCGTTTTGGGGCCCAGTATACTATATTTATAATAAGGAACCCCCAAAACAGTATTTGTATTTATTTAGGCCGCTAAAGTAAATCCTGAACTACCCATAATGAGGAATATACCATAATTCTCATAGTCTAAGGTCAGTAAGGTAATGCAGAATGTATATCATCAACCGTATGGCCAGACTTGTCCCGTCATGACGAGGCTGGGTTCGCGTCTGCATAAACCTCACTCGCAGATGGAACCCTTAAAGGAACCCCAAAAAATGGAACCTTAAAGGAACCTTAAAACGGAAAGGAACCCTAAAGGAACCCCGAAAAGGAACCCTTAAAGGAGCCCGAAAAGGAACCCTAAAAGGAACCCTAAAGCGCCTTGATGCATAAGTTCATCTGCACAGTGCCGCTCATGAGGCTCTCGGAGCCCAGAAGGTCAACCTCACAGGGGCAGTTTAGGGTTCAGGGCCATAGAGCTTTAGAGGTTTAGGGTTTAGGGTTTAGGGCCATAAAGCTGTTGAGGTTCAGAGGTTTAGGGTTTAGGGGTTATGAACTAGGTTTAGGATTCATAGGGCTCCCAGGCTTGTAGAGCTTACACGGTTTGCAGGGCTCACAGGGTTTAGGGCCCATAGGGCTCACCCGGCTGGTCGGGCTAATAGGGTCGGTCCCAAGGACTGTATGGGAGTTTCCGAAAATAGGGGACCCTAATATAGTACCCTAAGTAGTGGGATCCTGATTATAAGGACCCAAATAAACGGTACCCCTAATTTTCGGAAACTCCCATATCCCGAACCCTTTGGAGCTGAAAGGGATTTGCAGTAAAGTTGCTGCATACCCTACCCTAAAGTCTCTATTGTAGTTCCTTTCTGGGGCTGCCTGAAAGGATCATAAAACTGGCTAAAACCAAAGCAAGGAACTACGATGGAAGACTACAGGTAAGCTCTGTTGAAATGGAGGGTTTAGGAGGTTAGGGTTTAAGGTCTTAAGGCCTCCTGCACCGCTCGCCCCGCAGGCCGCAAGGAAACTTTATCAAGCCTTTTAGCACTGTGTACAACGACATAAGACCCTTGCAGCCCTGCTTGCAGTTCACTATCTTGAAACTCTAAACTCCAAAACCTAAAAAACTAAACCCTAAACTCCAAAACCCTAAAAGCTACACCCTAAACCCTAAGCCCCCTAAACCTTTCACACGCCTCCATCTGCGGAAGGCTTGGCACATACTGGTCCGTGGTGAAGTAGATGAAAGCGTAGACGACGCCCATGAACACCACCCAGCTCCGGGGACAGCCGTCCTCTTCAAGAGAATTTCGGATTGTAGCAGAGTCGTGGTGAGGTTTTAGATGGGCCCTCAGGCTCCATGTGCCTATATAGTAGATACTTGAACTCAAAGTGGCTACATAGGAACCACTCTAAGCCCCAAGTATATGCGTTGTAAATAGATGGAGCCTGGGGGGCTTCTACAGGGGTTCATAGGCTGCTTCAGGTTTACCTCGCTCCGTTTGGCCGTTTCGGCTGGAGGATCAGTGCACTAATTTTCCAAATCCTGCTCGGGTTAAGACGAGGGGCTAAAATTTTGAACAGCTGGGATGAAGGAACCACAGCCGCTCTCAGCTAGAGGAGGTGTAGGGCGTTCTTTACATCTATTCCTAACCCCTAAGCCACACACTCTGGGAGCCGAAACCCTGTCCGTATGGAGGTACATACGGGTGGTTGTCAAAATCAGGGTCCCTTTTTGGATCCTTATTATAATACGGCACCTAATATTTAGGGTACCCCCAAAAAAGGAACCCTAATTTTGACAACTACCCATATCCCAAACCCAACCTGTACGACTCCACCCAAGACCCTGAAAATTTTCGCGTCTAGTGAATGGAGCGAGCCTTCTAGGGGAACGTGCTACACGTCTGCTTAAAATTTCGCTCAGGTAGTGCAAGTGTCAATGACAGGAACCATACATCCAGAAATATCAGGCTCGGGCGTTTGAGGCGCTGTGGGTTCTGCCGAAACACCAGTTAAAGCACTAGTGTGATGTGGAATCAGCACAGATCCTCAACACCGCAACCCTCATTAATATAGGGCTCCTTGCTTATTATGGGTATGGTACTGTATACCCCCAAACAACTATCAAGGCCCCTATATATCAGTCGTCCTCCACGCTGGGATGCCGGGGCATCTTGTTTGGCAGACCAACCAACGCCAGGCGTAGGGACACGGCGATGAAGCCGCAGTAGACTGCGGCCACCAGTCCCTCTCCAAATTCTACAGTGTTTTAAGGTTTGGGGTTTTGGGCTTCAGGGTCCGTAAGCGCTGTTTAGGGTTTGAAGTTTAAGAATCGCTCTGCAGGGTTTTATGGCTAATTAGGGGTTAATTAAACCTCAGGGTTTAAGGTTGGTGCTGCGGGACATCAGATCAGGTCTGTGCTCAGATGCAGCCTCGATGTCAAAAACGAAGGAACCGTAAGCCCTAAACCTTACTCAACCTGCCAGGTACCGCAGAGGGTTTTTTAAGGTTTTAAGTAGACCTTCGAGGTTTGGGATGCTGGGGGCAGGATAAATTGAAAATCCTCAAGAGGGAAACCTTCGATTGGTGGTTTGATTGAGGAGTTAACATGAAGTCATAGTGCATATAACTTTCTTGGCTTCTTGCCTTCCTGTATTGTGGATATAGTGCTGCTGAGTTTTTCCTCTGTCTTTGACGATTTTGGTTCTGATGCTGGTCAGGCAGGTCGGCCGGCGTATGACTCCCTAAACGAAATTCCCAACTTCTGAATCCTGGAACAAACGCCGTTCAAGGCTTATGGCCGCTATAGTTCAAATAGCACAATGCACCTCCGCCCATAACCGTCTTCTCATATTTCTGCCCGCGCCCTGGACCTCACGGAATGTTGCCCTAGAGCCTTCACAAACTACACCGTGGGAAACATCCGCACACAGTGCCTAAATCTGAGGGATGAAGGGACGACCGCTTGCGGTCCCCCGCGTTTGACTTCACAAACAAACCACAGCAAAGTCACAAACCCGAAACGCTTCAGCCCCAAACCCTTACTCCAATAAATGCCTGTGGACTAGAACCTTGCAAGAATCCCAAATCCTAAACCGAAACCCTAAACCCTAGAACCTATTAACCCTAAACCCTAACCCTAAACATAAACCGAAAGCTCTGAACCCTCAGCCCTGAACCCCAAACCTTGAGCCGAAATCCCCAACCAGAGCCTTACTGAGCTTCGCCAGGACGTCCCCTTCGTAGAGGCACCGGGCGACATCCCACGACCAAGGTTGTGCCCCTGAGAGGTGTGGGGGTTTAGGGCTTATTTTAGTGTTTAGTGTGTGGGGTTTAGGCAGGGTTTAGGCCTTAGCGTACGGGATATGTGAATGGTTCTAGCATCTTCGGTGGTTTGTGGTTTGTATTTAGGGTGCGGGTTCGGAAGGTTCTCCCTGGGATGTTTTCTGGGAGTCGCAGCCTTTTATGACAACAATTCTACATATGCATGCACCATTAGAAGTCAGCCCTCTCTTTGTCCGGGGCCGTCAACTTACAGGCATCCGGAAACTGGGTGGTTGTCAAGATTAGAATCCCTTTGTGGGTCCCTATTATAATACGGCACCTAATAATTTAGGGTACCCAAAAAGGGACCTTAATTTTGACAAGCACCTACCTATAGAAGCCCTGAAACAATTCGAGAACCGACGGACCTCTGCCTGAGCCTTGGTATTGGGATTGCTGAACAGTCCGAGGGACTCAGTACATAAAAACCCTAAACCAGCAATAGGTGCCCTACTTGAAGGATCGTAGGACTTATTAACTAGGGTTATAGTTAGGGTAACTATACTTATAACCCCAATTAAGGTACTTATAACCTTACTTGCTAAGTCCCATGATCCAAGACCTACTTTTTGTTTGAGTCCCCTGACCGCTTTCGGGGAGAATCCCTGGGTCTTTCACAGTTTTGCAAGGCTCTTTAAGCTCTTACGTATGAGGGTTCTTATAAGCTTCATTGAGGCTTCGATACGGTTTGTATAGGGAAACAACGAAAGCCTGAACCCAATGGTTGGTTGCACGAGGCGGTCATGTAGGGGCTAAGGGTGCGCTCCAAGGACCAGGAGCCTACTTCATAGAATTACCGCGATGAGGCTTCATGGTACGTAGTAACAGGTATAGTTAACTGGCTTACCAAGCTGCTCAGTAAAGCCCTTGATCCTTTAAGTAGACCCCTACTGTGGCTTTAGCAAACAGCCTTAAGCCGTAGACTGCCCTATACCCCAACCTAAACCGTAAACCCTAAATCCTAAACCGCAAACTGCCCCAAACCCCTGCCTGGCCACGATCCGGCAGAGGGCCCCTCTGGGCCTGCGGGGCTTCCCAAGCCGCCCTGGCTGTCCTGAGGCTCGAAAGTCCCTACTTGTTGGGTATCATGGGACTTAGTAACTAGGGTTCCTTAAATTGCTCCTTAAAGGGATCTATAAGGGTTCCTGAAAGGGATCTATAGGGTTTCGGGTTTAGGGTCCACTTAAAGGATCATGGGACTTAGTAACTAGGGTTATAATAACGGTAACTATACTTATAACCCCAATTAAGGTACTTATAGCCTTACCAACTAAGTCCCATGATCCTCCAAGTACTTGTTTGGTATCATGGGGAACTAAAGGCTAACCCTTTCGGATATGTAGGGCTTATATCGGGACTATACTACCCAGAAAAGGTGAAAGGTTGCCTACTCTCGACTACTCACTGGCCCAAAGCCCCAGGAAACAAAAGTTGAAACTTTCAGAAACGACTACCTTATAAGAGCCCCAAAAGTTGAAAAGTTGAGTTTACAGCCAATAAGACTACTAGGCGGACAGTTCCACAACAACCACTAAGTCGGGGCCTCGCAGTTCCTTTGGGAGCCGTTCGTTGGCATGAGGTTTATAGAAGACGAAAGAAGGGAATCTAGACCAAGACCTAAGCCCTAAACCCTAAACCCTAAACCCGCCCTAAACCCTAAACCCTAAACTCTAAACCCTAAGCCCTAAACCCTAAGTAGACAAGACGAGAGACGGGAGTTTTGACCAAGACGCTACCCCCCCCGCGTCGTCCCAATCTTTTACCGGACTTCGAGCCATCCAAGACAAGGCATGTATAGCGTTTCGGGGAATAGGGTTTTAGGGATCCTAGGTCCTAGGGCTCCTTTAAAAGGGATCGGGTTTAGGGTTTAGGGTTTAGGGTTTAGGGTTTAGGGTTTAGGGTTTAGGCTATCAAGGTGCTAGAAGGGATCTATGGGGTTTAGAGCAACCTCCGAGGCATCGTCTACTTCCGAGCTCGTTTGCCGGAAGTTATGGAAGATCCAGCAGTGTCAACTCGTCGACAAAGGCTGCGGCTTCTTTTTTTTGGCTTAAGGATTGCACTTCTTCAAAAGCTTAGAAAACCCGAATCGCAAGCTCAGAGGTCCGGATACTGCCTAGATCGTTTAGGGTTCAGGGTTTACGGATCAGAGATTAGGGCTTTTTGTTTGGCCAATCAGCTACAAAACAGAATGGTTAGCTGAGGGTTGAAACAGGTCTCCGAAAAAGCGCTGCCCCTGACCAGTCGCGCAAACACCTCCGACATCGCAGAAGCGAAGAGGAACCATGGCAGACGCTGCATGGCGGCTTATTCGGCTACGGAACCCAGGTGGAGAGGCTGAACTCACACGAGGCATCGCAGGGTATATAAGGTTTTTGTAGGGTCTCTTGATGTCCTAGGAGTGTTCGACAACACTTTAGGTTTGGGTTTGGGGTTTCCCTGAACCATTTCTACCCTTTAAAACCCTGAACCCAGAATCCACATCCCAGCCGCAGCTACAACGCCTGACCCGAGCATGAGCCATCCTGGCCGCGAAGTTGATGGTGCCCGAAATCCGATCATCTTGTGGGCTTAGGGGTTGAGGGTTTAGGGTTAGAAGCTGCCCCCACCCTGTAATAGTGACCATAAGGATTATATTGGGGCCCTATTATATTCCTATTATATCACTATTACAGGGTGGGGGCAGCTTCTAAGTTTAGGGTTTAGAGCCTGGGTAGACACCACCTCGCTTCAAGCCCTAAGCTGAGAAATCCAGAGAGGGGCGCAAGGATGCCCTCAACCCGCGAAGCCTCTTGTCCCAAGACACGCACCCTTACACCCGGAAGCCTGAACCCGAATAATAAAGAGACATACATGTATACATAGGTATGTGTGTGTGTGTGTATGTGTGTGCATGTATGCATGCATATATGCATGCATGCATGGATGTATGTATAATGTAATGTAATGTGATGTAATGCAATGTGATGCAATGTAAGTATGTATGTATGTATGCTTGCGCCCTCCCCATATATATATATATATATACATATATATATATATATATATATATATAGGTGTGTGTATAAGTGTCTATATACATATATACATATATACATATATATATATATACAGACAGATCGATCTACGCACACACACACACACCAACCAATACTTCTTTTTATCAAATACCCCTCTTATTCTACGTATTGAGGCCCCTACAGGAGGCGTAGGCTCGCGTTTATCCTGGGTTTTGGGCCTTGACTGAGGCCCTCAAAGCCTGGCCCTGAAATCGAAACCGGACTTTTATGGCCAGGAACCCCCATAAGGGTTTAGGGTTTAGAGTTATAAGGGATCTACGAAGTAGATCCCCTACATAGTTTGGGAGCCGGGAGACCTATACACTGCCCAAGGGTACTCCACAGGAACCCCCTTCAAGGCAGCTACTTTTGGGAGTCTTTGAGGCGTCTGGGTAGAGGCTCGAAGTATCGACTCCAAAGGGGGAACCTGAAGCCTCAAGTAGGAGTTTCCGAAAATCAGGGGTACACTGTTTCGGGATCCTTATACATATATAATACGGATCCTACTACGGTCCTACTATTTCGGGATCCTTATACTCATAATGCGGATCCTACTATTTAGGCCACTCCATTAGGATCCACCATTTTCGGAAACTCCCGACACCTGCGCATCCTTGAAGTAAAGCTTGCAGCCCAGAGCACGAACCGAAACAAGTCCAGACGTCTGAAAGAGCCCAAAACCATGATATCCTACAGCTAGAAGCCTAAAACAGCCCTAACTAAACCTCAAGGCTTCCCCACTTGGAGGTTTATGGGGTAGTTATATGTGGGGTTATAAGTAGGCTAACCATGATTATACGCCATATTATTAAAGGGACCTATAACCCCACGTATAAGTACCCACGAACCTCCCCAAGCAAGCCGAAAGTTACGAACCCGAAACCCCCAAATCCTGAACCCACGAGGCGCCTCCACCTCATCCAGCGCCTTTTTCAGATCCTCACCTTTTGGGGGGTTTGAGGATTAGGGGTTTAGGGCTCTATAGAGGTTTATGGGTGTATAGGGGTGTAGAAGTTTAGGGGTTTAGGGTCCTAGGGTTTAGGGTTTCGGGGTCTAGGGGTTGTGTGAAGTAAGCTCGATGTTTAGGGGGGGGGGGGGGTTCAGGTTTCAGAAGATTTCTGGCAGGCGATTCTGAAGCCGCCAAGGCTTGACTCTATGAGAAGCACTACACGCATTCGAGATCGGGGCAATTACGACTTACGACCTCGTACTGACAAGTTACTACCAGTTGCTTTGCTACTGGCTGTTACTTACTGCTTACTTGGTGACTAGCTACTACGTACCACTTGCTGTACCCCTTGTTGCTTACTATGTGCCACTGTACTGCTTACTACTTGCTACTGGCTGCTTGCTGCTACCACTTACTACTTACTTGCCCGTTGGCCCCAACTTTCTACTCAATACTTGCTCCTTGCTACTGGTAAGGACGCTTACTACTACGACTAGGGTAATCCCCGGTCCCGAACCTTAAACAGATACCTCAAAAGAACCCCCTAAACCCTGGATACCTTAAAACCACAACCTGACCGCAAACTCTCGTCGAAAGTCTTGGGTCTGCTGAGCTGTCGCAGGTTGAAGCCGAGCAACTGCATCGGTTGCGAAGTGCTCGAAATGGAAGTGAGGAAGAACCCTATGTCTTGCGGCTGCTCGTCACCAATGCCCTCGATGTACGACGTCGTGAGTCTTCTGGCTTGTGCTCGAAAGTTTGAGCCTTGAAGCCAGCCAAGACATCAAAACCCTGCATGTTTCCATGGCGTCCAGGCGGCCTTGTCCTAACCAAGAAGTCCAGGTGCTTCTGCCGTTCCTGGGGACCCTGGATGCTCACAGCCTCCCTGTTCACAGAAGCTAGTGGAAGCGGGTCTTCAGCAGATGCTGGGCGGTATCGTTCTGGAAGGCTTAACCCTGGATACCTTAAAAAACCCTGTCCCGCAATTCCAAAACACACCAAAAAACTCGAGGCTCCAGATAAACCCCAAGCGGTTTAGCAGCCAGAGTTTAGGGTTTAGGAGATAATTAATTACCTTTCAACTCAAGCCCTATTGAAAAAGCTGACCCTAGACACGGAAAAAAAAAAAACAAAAAAACACCTAAACCCTAAACACCTTGAACACAAAAAGCGACATCCTGGATACCATTTAAGCACGCCTGCAAAGCCCAGAGAGGCGCCCTAAACCAGATAGAGCCCCCCTTCAAAGGAACCCTCCACCCTAGGATACCCAGTAAGCTAAGAATAAAAAGGCCTCTCTTTTTGGTATTGGGCAACTTTACAAGGAACCTAGGACTACAAAAAGGGAATAAGGGTACTACTGGGCATCCTAGCGACCAAAACCCTAAACCCTGAAGAACCTACCCTTTTTAAGGACGTAGGTCAAGAAATCATAGTAGGGAACCCTAAAAAGGCAGGTTCTTCAGGGCCCTGGCAAACCCTAAAGCGAAACCCTTAAAGGATCCCTTAAAGTCTTAAAGGAACCCTAAAACCCTTAAAGGATCCCTTAAAGTCTTACAGGAACCCTTAAAGGATCCCTTAAGGTCTTAAAAGAACCCTAAAACCCTCAAAGGACCCCTTAAAGTCTTAAAGGAACCCTTAAAGGCAAACCGCCCCTCCGGGCAACTGTGCTCCCCGCTTCCCTCGGCCGGCGGGTTCGAGATGATGGGCTCCGCCATGGTCACAATGGCCATGACGGATTCCTCCCAGAACGGTCTGTGTAGGGTATATAGGGTTTAGGGTTTAGGGTTTAGAGTAGGGCTTGTTGGGGTTAAGGTTTGGGTGTTTTTTCGTTGATCGCCCCTTTTTCCTCCGACTCCTCTCAAACCGGTCTGTTGGGATTCAACTACGAAATCATAAATCATAACGGGGGTCTAGGGTGGAGGACTCCTCTCAAAGCGGTCTGTATAGGGCTTGCTCGGGATTAGGGTTAGGGGTTCAACTACGAAATCTTAAGGGTGTCTAGGGTGGAGGACTCCTCCCAAAGCGGTTGCGTACTTGGAGGTTCATGGGTAGTTAGGTGGAGTTATACGTCCCCTAATATGGGCCATACTTATGGTTACCCTACGAAAAAATGACGGTTTCGAGGGTGTCTGCTTCTGGTAGGCTGGGGATGGATGCGGCCCGGAATAGAGTGGTTTCTGTTTTGCGGGGCTGCGAGGCCTGCTTAAAGTAATTAGGGTGTAGGTCTAGGGCTTTGTGAATTTTAAATGGTCCTTTTCCAACGGGTTTAGGGTTTAGGAGTTTAGGGGTTTAGGGTTTAGCCTCGCCTTCACATAACCTTCGTACGTAGCTGGCGAAACCTTTAGTTTGATGCCATCCAAACTTATTTTATGGTCCGAAGCAATGCTGCAAACGACGCTTCCGGAGTGGCTTTAGAGCCTGTGAGGTAGTGAGGCCTGCCCCCTGCCCTCACCAGATCCTCCGTGCTCTCGCAGGGTTACGAAAAAGCGTCCGACATCAAAGAATACTTGGAGGATCATGGGACTTAGTAAGTAAGGTTATAAGTACCTTAATTGGGGTTATATAAGTATAGCTACCCTAATTATAACCCTAGTTACTAAGTCCCATGATCCTTCAAGTAGACCCTAAAACCCCTCTTATAATAGAACCCCCTATAGTTCCCTTAAAAGGAGCCCTTTTAAGGAACCCTAGTTAATAAGTCCCATGGTCGTTTAAGTAAAACCAAAAGATTCAGCCTAAACCTCATTAGGATTCACCATTTATCTCCCCTAAATGAACCCTTAAAGGAACCCTTCAAGGAACCCTTAAAGGAACCCTTAGAGGAACCCTTAAAGGAACCCTTAGAGGAACCCTTAGAGGAACCCTTAGAGGTACCTCTATGGGAGCTAAAAGAAGAACTGAGGCTCGGCCTCGGCCACAGACGTGAGATCCCTGATGGCCGGAATGGCCTCCTCGAAGTCCTTCGGCTCTTTTAGCGGTATAGGTTAGAAGCGGCCCCCACCCTGAAATAGTGACTATAAGGATTATTTTAGGGCCCCACTATACTCCTTTTTACCACTATTACAGGGTGGGGGCCCCTTCTAAGCGGTTAGGCTTTGGTAGACTCCAGGGTCCATCAGAAGAAGAAGAAGAACAAGAAGCACATGGAGCGTTAGGTCGGAGATTCGCGGAGAGTGCGATGTCTCTTCCTTGGGGAACACTTCCCAAGTCATATTTAACTAAAGTCGAACATCACGTACTTGGAGATTCACTGGTAGTTATACGTAGGGGTGGAACCCCCTAATATGGGGTCA